ACTCTTAAGTAACTGACACCTGAACATATGATTGTTTTTGTACATGTTAACTTACATTTACAATTATTCACATGGGGTTATTGACTTTATACTATCTTTTTCAGTGTCACACAAATTATATTCCTGTTTGTGGATCAAATGGAGACACTTACCAAAACGAATGCTTCCTCAGGAGAGCTGCTTGCAAGCATCAGAAGGAGATAACAGTGGTAGCAAGAGGACCTTGTTATTCTGGTATGTAAGATGTGATTATGCTTTGTTAGTAAATAATATTATAGTTTCCCATTGTTTTAATGCATTTTCTAGAATTAAATTGCAAAAAATATGGAGAGCACAGATTACCTTTACTTTTGAAGTATATTAATAAGAAGTACAGGGCTTCTTGTATATGTATTAACCAATCAAAATATTTAAAAGGAAAAAGTATTCTGGCTGGGGAAACAACTGGTGAATGATTCTTACTCATCAGAGAAGCTTTATGACTTAAAAGGCTTAAGACCAAATTGCACAGACTCCATGTGGGTCTATTTTCTATGAATCATATTTTGGTTGTACAGAATTGGGCTATATCCAGCAAGTGGTTTACCCAACATTCTTATACATACATGGAGTCCTACTGAATGTAGTGGATCACAAGAGTTCTCGTAGGTGAACCCCATTAGTAAGATCTTGACTTATACATTTGCAAACAACCACATATATGTTGGGAAACCAGTGGCTAATATAACCTGCTTCTGGCAAATAAATAGAAGCAACAAACTAAAAGCTTTGATCTTGTTATCTAGGCAGGCCATTTCCCTGCTGTGTAGATTTCCTGTGTATTATAGGTGATAGCTTTTCTGACCTGATTTTTATTCAGTGTTAATACTGTATCAGGACACTCTTAATGAGTCTGATGTTCTCCTGAGCATGGCTTGTAATTTCCTTTTTTCTCCTTACTCCTTTTTTGGAACACACTGAGAAGTGGCCTAATCATTTTGGACGGTTCTTTTAGAGAAAGAAATCTCTGTTCAAGAAAACCGCTTCTGTGTCCAGGCTTCCATTTCATCTGCCCATGAACTGGATGTGATGGGCTTTGATTTAGCAACATTAGGGGGGGAGGCAAATGTATGTGCTATGGGGTAGCTAACTTCCTTTCTAATTATTCTGGATAGCTGTCCATCATTCTGCCTGTAATTCAGGCCTGTGACCTTGGTGTGTGTCATCTTTGACTCTGATCTTACTATCTTTTTTCTTCATAGCATCTTTAAGAGGGCTTTTTCTATCCATCTGCACAGGTAAAACTATTGTCCAGGCTTTCACCATCTCACATCTTGATTATTCCATCATTTTTTTTTACTATGATAAAGGCAGGCTTGCTCTGCCCATATCTGTTTAGAAAGCAATGCTAAAATTGTTTTCCTAGCCTTGTGCTTTGACTGCCACTACTTTGTGGGCATCTGATCACTGGCTCTACACATCGAAGATAAGCTGCCTGTCTGCACTTTTTAAGGCTCTTTACACCCTGTTCCCATCATACTTATCTTCAAGTATCTCTCCATTATGGAGAGGTTGACTCTTACCTCCAGGCAGCCCTACAGCACTGGTTTGTTAGATTTTCAAATAAACATCTGCATTCTTTCTTTCATGCTTTCTCTTGCTTGATAGGAACTGCCCATAACTAGCCACAAAGCTGCTTTAGTGTCCTCCTTAAAATCTCTCCTTAAGACTGTCTGTTCTTATGATGCCTACAAAACACTTGACAGTGGCTGCTCTGCTGAAGTGCTGAGACTTCAGCCTATCATGCTGACAAATGTCTCATTATTTCTTGCTATTATCCCTTCTTTCTGTATCCATTTGGTATCTCTTGTCTTAGACTATAAAATGTTTGGGACAGGGACTGTCTTTTTGTTCTGCATTTGTACAGCATGTAGGAGTGTGGTACCCTGGTCCATGATTGGGACTTCTCCATGTCACAATAGCATGAACAACAACATTACTTTTATATTACTCAAATCCACCCAGTCTAAATGACTGTTGCATATTAAATTTATAGTCTGATTTTCTGGTCCTAAATATTATCAGAATGATTGAAAAAGACAGACAGACAGACAACCCATATAACAGAATGCCAGTCAGAGGTCTTGGACACATTGTTAGAACTATCCTGAATCTATGCACATATTTCAAGGATTATGAAGCCAGCTGACTAAGAGGCAGGTGGCTGGCTTCCTCAGAACTGGATGATTCAGAGAGTAATAGCAGCAGTTGCATTCTAAGACATCAGCATATAAGTAATGTGCTGCCTATCCATTTCTGAAAGAGATATTTGGGTTTTTAATGAGGTGGAGCAGGGGTCATCAGTATTTTCCAGTGGGAGGGGGAAAGGAGGGAGGAAGGGAGGCAGAATAGCCCAGCTTGGGTCA